CTAAAAAGAGAACTGGGAGGTAGAGACCAAAGGACTAACAACAGTGACAACGTATTTTGTTTTTCATGCATACTTTTGTCACTTTATCACTTTTTCTACTATACAAAAAAAAGTCACCATTTTTTCCTCAAAAGGTTGCATGATTACTTTAGTGATGGTTGTTTACATATCAAATACAAAGGTAGTGTACCCTGTTCCTACTTAGGGGTTCCCTAAAGTCTTGGGGAGCCTTAATAATAATAATAATAATAATGAAATGTTTACGTTATCTTATAATATTTGGAATTTTAGGTTGATTTGGAATAATATTTTAGATAAAATTATTATTATTAAATCAGAAATGTCTGTCATATTTATAAACATGCATACAGATTGTGTTCATATACTTGGATGAAAGAGACCTTCCTCTTAATTTTTAACTGAATTTTGTATTGAAATCTTTCTCATCTGAAGATGCTTTGTTACATTAGAATGTCATCCTTCTCTGTCTGTAGGTTAGAAATACCTTTTTAAGTTGATGTTGTTCATCAGCGTCAGTACACACACACACCCTCTGCATCACCCGCATCCACAGGTGTTGGGTGGACCTGCTGTGGAGTTAGTAAGCTTGTGTTTGAGACCTCAGTCTGCTACAAGGGTGTGGGACCTTGTAAATAATCACCTAACTTTTCTCTGACTCAGTTTACTTTTCTAAAATCCTTGCCTTCCGACTTAGTCAGCAGTCAAAAAATTATTGTATTTTTGAATTTTGTATATCTTCACAAGAAAGGTATTTTTTGTTTTTCTGATTCTTTAGTAGTTTTAACTATAGCTACTTCAACATATATTTATGAGATTATTTGAATGACTATCTGAAATGCACTTAGTAGAGTGTCTGGCACATCTATGGATATGCCTTGTTTCGTTATGGTTTTGTGCTCTTCTTATTTCTACAGATTATCTTGTATCAGTGGAGGTGCAGTTAGAATGAAACTTCTTTTCCAGTTTGTTTCTCTGATTTCTTCCCTTTCTTTTCTTCCCTTCCTCCCTCCCTTGTCTCTCAGACATTCCTATCTATGAGAAATAGATGCAATGAGATGAAACACAGTCTGTTCGGGAAAGGATGTACTTAAATAGTTTGAAGTAAGAATAGGAACTTATATTATCATCTTGAAAATGTTTTAGAGTTTATCCCAACCTTTCTTCTATTCAACATAGTTACCGCATACTGTCTATGGGCATTGGGGACATAAAAGGGTCCTTGTCACAGCATCTGATGAGATTGAATGAGTCTAATACTTATATCAGGGATGAAATGTGATCAGTTAAATCCCCCCTAAAGGAAAAGCTTTGTTCCAAACAGGAATTTGCTTATACGAGCTATTGTTGGTAAATGCTATGGGTGAATTGTTGTTAGGAAAACCACTTGGCCTTATGTCATGAAAGAATGACTTTATTTCTTTAATCTTTGGTTCTTTTTTGTATTCCACAAAATTTTCTGAACCCTTACTTTATACCAAATATTTTACCAGTATTTAGAGACATGAAGGTAAGCAAAAAAAAAAAAAAAAAAAAAGAGTTTACTCTCAAAGGGTTTATATTCCATAGGCTGAGACAGACAATAAAGGATTTAATAAATAACTTATCTACAAACCATGTCATTGCAAGTTAAATAAACACAGAAATATGATGGGGAGTAAATGAAATGCTGGTGGGGACTTTTTAAAATAAGACAGTCTGAACAATGCCCATTTGGAGCTGAAACTTAAAGAATGAGAATGAACCAGTCATTTGAAAATCTGCAAAAGTACCTTCCAGGAAGTAGGCTGAACAAGAGGAAAAGATGTTGAATGTAGGGATGGGCTTGGAGTGTGAGAGCAGAGGTCCTGCACTGTGCCCACCCTGCGGGCAAGTCACAGGTAATTCCAGTTGGTAGATGATGCAGGTGCTACTGGTTTGGAGCCCACACTGTGAACACTGCTGTGCTAGAGAGGAATTAGAAGGAGGAAGGGGTGGCTTGAACACTGTGAGCCAGGGGCCAGGAGAAGGAAATGGGGCTGGAGAAGGAAGCAAAAGCCCTAAGATCTCAGCCTGGAAAGAAGGTACAAGTGTAGTCTTAGATTAATCAGAAGTCATCGCAGATTCTCAAGGAGACTGTTCTTGTTCTTAGATGATTACAGTGTAGTTCGTGTTCAGGGATTATCTGATTCTTCATGGTGCTCTTTTCTAATGCATGTGAAACAAATTCCATGGGATTTGGAAATAACCTACAGTTCCCTCTGTATTTGCTTCCTGAGCAACCTTTGACAAATGGAACAGATTGCTCACTTTGCAGAGCACAGACGTTCTCCCACGCTCAGGTTTTAGAAGTACGAGACGTAGGCAAATCAGGTGGCTGCAATTCAGATCAGCTCAACATTTACAGAAACACTTTCTCTGCATCTGGCACAGTGCACTTAGTGTAGCAAGGACATGATGAAAGCATACGTGATTTCTAACAGCAAGCAGCATTTAGTCTTTTGGGGCTAAATAGCAAAAAGCCCACATGAGACAATCAGAGGATTATATAAGCAGAGGACAGTGCACTGTGTAATAGCGTGTTAAATGGAATATTATCATATGCAAAAGTTAATGAGACAGATTATAAGTGCTGTGGCCACTAAGAAGGGGGAGAATTGTTTGAAGTTACTGGGAATGTTTCATGTGGGGGAGGCATTTGGAAATGGTTAAAATTTGGCTAGAGGGGAGGGAAATGCATGGAAAAGCCTTTGCTCTCAGTTTCAATCAATATGCAAAGAATTCTGTTTTCCCCAAGTTTTTGCTGTTCTGCCTTTCAAGGAGAAAGCCTTCTATGTGTGTCTGATTCTGAGTTCAATTGAATTACCAGCCCATTGTCTGGTGAGAGCTGTTTGGTCAGGGAGCCTGCGGACTCCGGAGAAGCTTTTATCCTTTGAAAGAAGCTGTCCTGATTTGCTATTGTTAATGAAACATGCACTACACAATGCTTAAGTTTAAGACCCACTGAGAACATAACCATGTACCTCCTTTCATCTCCACATGGGGGAACCACATGGCATGCCCGACCTGCGGAAGCGCAGCAGCAGGCTGCTCCCCAGCGTTAGTAATTGTCTGGAACTCCCTTATGGCACATCCTAAGAGCTTTGTGCTAGGACTGATGCACCAGACCACTTTCACCCTCCGTGAATAGACACAAGATGTCTTGCACCCAGAAGACAAACTCTTTGTAGTCATGCGTCTTTCAAACATGCGTCCTCAGAACCTGCATATTTATGTCTCAATATCCTGTGCCTGTGTGAGGCTTAGCTTGGAATTTGTGAAATGTGCACTTAGGGTAATGGGTATATTTTCCCTCTGTCAAAAATTTTTTTAAAAATCAGATTTTAACGAATACATTTAGTGACTCAAAAGGCTCACCTCCTTTGCTGAGGCTATCTGGGAAATTCAGGTTATCCTAAATATTAGGATATTTTCTATTAGCTCAGGTAATTCCAAAGATTCTTTAATTCCAAGGTTGAGGGTAAAGAGAGAATTAAAAGAGGAAGGATGGTAAAGAGAGGCCCGCCTGACCAAAAAAGAGAGTATAATGGCAAGGTGAAAGACAGAGATTGCCAAACTTTTTTACTTGCTCATTCATATCCAGAAAAGATTTTGATAATGCCTTCCAAAAGGTATACATATTTATATATTATATACATGTATCATTATAGTTATGTTACTTGTATATGAAAGACACACAAAAATAAATATAATAAAGAATGTAATTTTTTAAATGAGCATAATTTCTAATACAGTCATACCTCAGTACTCGTTGGCTTCAGAACTCATCAAATCCTGTACTCATCGCATTTTCATGAGAAAAAAATGTTTCGGCACTGGGTTCTTGCTCACCACTCGGTGCCCCCTCTCACTATGAGACAGAGGTCGAGATGTCAGTGACACGGGAGCTCACAAACAGCTCAGTACTTGTTGGTTTTGGCACTTGTCACAAGTTCCAGAGCGAATTAACAATGAGTACAAGGGTATCACTGTACTTTCTTTCCAAACTTCACAGAACTCTCTTTTGTACCCTTGGGTATACATGCACACTGTGTTTGAGTATTCCTGTGTAGACCCGTGCGGTGCACTGGTTCTCAAATGTCAGTCTGCATTGCAATTTCCTACAAGCTTACGAAAACACAGATTTCTGCCTCCCCCTCACCAGTGTCCTAATTCAATGGGTCTGGGGTGGGGCCCAAGAATTTGCATTTCTAGTAACTTTCTGGGTGATGCTGGTCTGAGGCCTATACTTTGGGAGCCACTGATGGAGGTAACTGCTCGGATCTCACAGTTAGTCTACTCAAGTTGGACATTGGGATCCTTTAATTTCCAAATGTGTGACCTTGGGCAAATTATTTTACTTCTCTGAAGCTGGTTTTTTAATCTGTGAAATGACAGTTACATAGCTACTTAAGTCTTAGAGTCACTGGAGAGCTTAATGAGGCAACGGAGACAAAGCACTTAGTACCCAGTGCTTATTACCTACATAATACCAGTGCATGTTGGCTGCTATCTCCTTCTCCTCTGAATTACGATGAAACACCTTTTTATTGTAACAAAGTAGACTTTAGGGACTTTTGTCATTAATTCAGGAGAATCATGGGAACATGTTCTGCTTTACCATTATGCGTTCAGGAAGACCATGCTCCAGGCAAGACCTCTTTTGGTTAAATGGTAGAGATGAGGCTCTTTTGCAAAGTCTGCCTAAGAGAGAACAGTGTGTTCAGCCCTCTCCCTTCTGTGTGTAACTGTTGACAGTGTGTGGCTAAGTGTATATTTCTGTCGTCTTTTGTATATACCAAATTCTTGTTGCATGATATAGAGTTGACATTTTTGGTGGTTGTGTCTTTGAATGTTTTGGGGCATGAGAATAGTACATTCAAGTGATTGCTTTGAATTTGATTAATTGTTAACACTTCTCTCTCTACTTTTTCTTCTCTCCCCTTTGTCTGATACATTACTAGGACCAAGTACCACCTGCCAGGAAGACTCGTGTGCCAATCAGGGGGTCTGCATGCAGCAGTGGGAAGGCTTCACCTGTGACTGTTCCATGACCTCCTATTCTGGAAACCAGTGCAATGATCGTGAGTACAACATTTTCACACTTGGATTTTTTCCAATGAGTTTAGAGGTTTAGGGAAACCTTAGGGATGTTATGGGAAAGGATGGCTCTTCTGAAAGATTCATTAGCAACTTTCTCTTCCAGAAACTGGGAAAATAGAGGACAAGTGCTCTTATGGGAAGAGCAAAAAGACATTTCTTACTCAGCAATACTAAATGTTTTCCCAGTTGCTTATTCCCAATGTTTCCCTTTTAGATTAGATTACCTGTGACTGAAAAGCAAAACAAAAGAGTTCAGGCAACATTTGTGTTCTGAGGAGTCCAGTTTTCATTAATTAAATCATCTGGATAACCATATGGAGACTCCTATTTGCATTGCATAGAATTTAGAATATGTTTAAGGAATGTATTGATAGTAGCTATTTTTTAAAGAAAAATTCTGAACTTAGAGAACTTCTTAGACCTTTCAAATGATGAAGATGTTTGGATATCATTATATTTCCCAATTAGAAATATTTAAAGCATCCTCAGTGGCTTTCAAATGTAACATAGAGATTCTGGAATCTCTCAGTAAATTTGTTGCTATCTATTTGTTGTAAATATGTATGTATATATATGCATTTTCTGTTTATATATTTGGTATACATATTCTGTTTTTGTCAATCTCCTTTGTGAGTACATTTGTATGTGTGTATCTGTGCGCTTGGTTCATGTTGGTAAAGAGCCAGTTTGTCCACTCACAATGCTTCAGGCACATCAGCTGATTTGGCCTAGAAGAAGAGGGATTTCTTGAAGGTGATCTCAGCACTGCTGGTGGAGATACTTTAATTCTGTGGAAATCTATAACCTGGGGCTCCACTTCCTTCTTATGTTATTGTCCTCACACGGCCACTTTTAAAGATGAACTAACACTTGAAATTTCTGGATACTTATTACAAAGGGATTCATTAAAAAGCCCTAACTTGGTGTGTCCTGCTGACCTGATTTTCTAAATGCAGGCTTCATGGTAGGAGTTTGTGTTACAATCTGAATCAGGCCATTGGCTTCTTGTATTCATAAAAAAAAATAAAATAAAAAGACACATGATGTTATCTGAGCAAACAGAAAGGCTGTGTTGTAGTTTGCCCATGTGGGAGGAGGTGTCCATTACAGGTCTATCTCTAGTGTCTATTTGATTTTCCTTGATTTCTGATTGCTCACCATTTTTCATGTGTCTAGCTATCTCTTATTCTGGTTTTTCACTTTTCTCATAGCTTTTTGTCTTCATATGATCTGTCAGTCTCTTAAGATATGCAAAGGAGAAACAAGTAATGAATCTGGCAATGTAGAGAGAAAGTTCTTTGCAACTCATTGATCTAAACGTAAGCACGTGCCTGTATGTCTGTAACACAAAGGACACCCTGTCTGCAGGAGGTTTTGGCACCAGATTGTCCTTCCCGAGTATTTGGTATTGTTGAAAGTCCTGTTCCCATATTTATGATTTGGAAACTGCCTTCCCCTCGGAAATGGGCAGTCATGGACCATCCAAAGTACCTTGAAAATCGTGCTGTATGCTTTCTACTCCCTTCAATTTGTCTGTGTAGGACTCAGTAGGAAGCCCTATTTTTTCCCCTAAATGGTGGCCTGATGTTTCTCTATCCTCACAAGTTTACTCCACATCACACATACACACCACTCCCAGTAGGAAATGGACTGCATGCAGACAGGCAGAAAGGTAAGTTACTTTCACGTCGACGAACACGCACAGTCTTCAGAAGGTATGTACATATTTTTCTCTCATTGACAAATTTCTTTCTGTTCTCCAGGCAAGGCATTGTTTTCTGCTAAAAACCAAGCAGGATTCTTTCCAGCTTTCTACGATTGTTTCTGATCTAGTAATGTCTTAGTCCAGAATGGGCACTATCACGTTATCTGACTGGAACAATTTGCCGATAACGGAATTGAGTTTTTGGGCGAGGATGGGGGAGGTCAGCTTTCTTTTGTGGTGGTAGCTTCTCCTCCTCCAAAAGTGTTTCCAAGATATCCTGGCTTAGTATAGTATATTTTGCATTTTTAGTCTATAAATAATGCAGTTGAATTTTCGATGGTAGAAAACCTCTGAGCCCAAATCACTAAAAAACCTGATTGCCTAGTCCCTTCTCACAGAATGGACCAGGTCTTCTGTGATTGGATGGCTGTATGGATGCGGAAGCGAGTACATTTTAATTGGAAAAGGTGAGGAACATATAGAATTCAGATCTACAGACCTGCAGGATCTAACTAAAAAGTTTGTACATAAACTTTTTTTGTATAAAGCAAAAGTGTATACTGTTGTTCGTGAGGCTGTGGGTAAACTTTTAATGAAATGCAACTGAATATGTAAAAGTGGTAGGTCAATGGTTACAATGGATGCATCTTTAATGATTAACATTTAAAGTATAATATTTAAGAGGAACTTCTCTTTTGGATCTGGTGTCAGAATCAGGTTTTTTTTTTCCTCCTAGAAAATCAGTTTCACTACTTCCCATCATAGATGATTATTTTCTATGTCAACATTGACCCTTAGAGTTGCAATTTGCTGCTTTATCTCACAAACACTTTCAAAAGGAAGTTACCTGGCTAATACTCTATGTGCCTCCCTATGTTAGTGACTTCTCGGTAGCTTTGCTTGCATCGGGAGTCAAGCATTGGTGTCATCAGCAGAACTGAAAAAGGTTCATGTTCACCATTGAACATGTGCACTCTATGTGCCTCCCCCCAAAACAGTGGGAGGAAAATGCAAGAAGGGAGAAATGATAGAGTAAGTGACTAGAAGAAGCAGCAGGGTGAAGAGGAAAGGACAGAGAGGAAATGCAGGGGCTGAGTCTTCCGGAAGAGCACAGAGGCTGTGGCCGTGCTCATAAGCACAGCCCCAGTGGCCTGGCTTTGATGTCAAGAACAGAATCAGGGCATGGGCTTCTGAGTGGAGTGCTGTTCAGGAAATCCGGCCTGGACCCAATTCATGGGACTAGTATATTCTGTAGAATGCTGTATGTATCTAAAATACATTGTATTTTTTAAGATGCTGTCATAAAACCACATGAATTCAGTAGCGATTCAATCTAAGGACAAAAGACATTTATTTTCTGGGTAGGGGTAAGGTTTGAATTTCTCATTTTCTATAAGCAATTTCTCAGGCCAGCAGATTGATCCTTAATTATTGGACATGAGAGCATCTCATTTTATTATTGCACATCCAGGAATAGAAAATTGTTCGATAGGGACATGTCTAGGCTATTATATTTTCCAAAACAAAGTGCTCAGTTCATCATGAATAAAAAAGTTAATTGCATCTGGGGATGACTTGCAAGTTTTTAAAGAAATATTTGCATTTTACAATCTTCTTTCCTTTTCCTAGCATTGGTTCTGTTACTTATGACCTTTGTTATTTATTTGTTTGCCTGTTTGCTAAGTTTGGCATTTGCTTGACAACTTTGAGTTGCTGTCCCATAAATATGGCCTCCATGAGTAGAGTTTACGTTGAAGAACTGTATCTCATTTAGTGTGAGTAGACCAAGCCAGGGTGGATTGCTGAAGGCAGCAGGGGTGGATTCCAGGTTCATTCTTACAAAGATGGATGCAAAGCTGATACAGTGGTTGAGAACATATAACATGTATTCTGCATCTGGTTACTTGTATGAGAATATTACCTTGTTTTTGGATAGAAACAGAAATCTTCTGATTGGAAACTAAAGTATACTAGATTTGGTCATTGTCATCTAGTTTTATGACATGACTTTCCATTTCCTGTTATAATAAAATCATAGGGAGTTTCCTTTAGGTGAATTTTAGGGCCATTTACAATAGAAAAACTATCTCAGAGGCAATTTTGAGTTCATCTGGGATCCCATAAGGACACAGAGATGATGTTTGCCAAAAAAAATTCTTAATTTCTTTTGAAAAATTGACACTGAGAGGATTGACTTCTTAGAGGGTGCATACTGCCTGAACACCAATCTAATGACACAATATTGGGGTTACATCTCATGAGCAACAAAACAGGTGGAATCTTACAAGTGTTCTAATAGGGGGATTTTTTAATATGGGGTTCCTATGGCTATTTTAAACCAGGATTATCTGGGCAGTTTTGGTGTGTTGTAGCCATTACACCAGCATGCAAATTGAGAATCCCTTTTCTATATGGTGTGGCAGTGCACCCCCAAGGGCAACCCTTGTTGAGTCCCCTTCCCCTTCAGAATGTAGCAAGCTGTTGCACAAAATCCAGTTCCTGTGGGTGTGCCCCCCCCCCACAAGAGTCATCACGTGGGAGGCGTCTTCGAAAATAGCAGTTTGAAACACCTCACATATTTTCTCACCACCTCAGTTCCCTTTTAGCATGTTCATGACAACTGTTTTAAGTTGTGTATAATTTTGGGATCTTGTTAGTGCCTCCGTGCCCTGGAGAAGCAAGTGTGGAACAGTCTGTGTGTGGCGCATGAGCCCTTAACACACATCACGTTCCTGGATTTAGAAATGGGGTGTGTTTATAATGGCTTTGTGGAGCGAGCAGTAGGGAATAAATGTGGGTCCTCAGCCCACCCGCATCAGCCAGCTACCTGTGCTACATTGTGGGTTGTGCATTGTGGGCTCCTTGCTGTAGAAATTGCTAGGTTCACACTGGCATGTGATAATAGATGTTCTTTGCTTGCCACAAATCAGCTGTGGATCGTGCAGACAGCGGAGTGCGAAGCGCCTTTTCGGACAGTTCTCTGCTGGAGTGGCTGTTAAGCTGCGCTGTTGGCTATTGATTGGCCTTTTGCTTTTTATTTATTGTGTGGGTTTATTTATTTTTTAATGTAGGTTGGCATATTGATTAAATCTGTTAAAAACTCGTTTCCCTTCAGGCTTTGGAAAAGATCAGCAATATATGCACTACTTTGTGTGCAAACAAGGGGACAGACGTGTGCACATTCTGTCTTTTGGGTTTGTATAGGTCAATAATATGAGCCCATGTTGTTATTTGTATAGCAGTAATTTCCAAGGGTTTCAGGCTGTAATACACCCA